TGACGCGGCCGCGCCACGCCCCGAGTCGCGTGGAGTGCGAGGTCCCGTCCAATGCTGCTTGCAGCTTTAATTATATTTATATTTATTATAAAGCTATAAAAGCATTACAGTAAAAGGCCAAAAACACTAAATAGGTTAAATACAGTTTCTGTAACAGTAAAACACTGTCGTATCTAAGGGCGAAACCTTTATTTATATGGTATTTTAAAGGCATTTATATGGATTAAAAGAAAATACAGAATTCATATGGTTCTTTCATATCGGCAAAACTGTTTCTTTAGATGGTAAAAACTTTGTTTATACTTTAAAATATGGAATAAAACCGCCAAACTTTAACCGTAAAATGAACAGTAAGACCTTTTAAACATTTGGTGTGGCGAAACTGGACTTTTATTGTCGCGGTCACTTCCGGTCACCTCATTCGGAAGTGTCTTAAACCTGCATGTTGTTGATTTAATGAACGCAGCTTACTGTAGTAACTGTGGTCCACGAGGCAGTGCTAAGGTGACACACACACACATATTCAGCCTTAACTTCAGCACACACACACACACACACACACACATTTTTTCTATAGTTTATTTTCCTGTGTTTGCTTTTATTATCTCATTAAGAAATGTTTGTGTTTGTACATGCAGGCCTATTTAAGAGTGAGTGATACCAGCCTCTTCTATGCAGAACTCTAAAAGCCTTCCACTTTAACTTTTAATAGTGGTTGGAGTTATTCATTTAATTATTAATCTAATTTTTAAATTAGTAGTTTAGTGTTTTTTTTATGAGATTGATCAATCAATTATCAGCTATTGTTTACCTTATTTAAGAGTTGTGCCGAGGATCTTTAATATCAATTATTATATAATTATCAATCATTTTCTATTATCTTTTTGATAATTAATAGAATTAATTGATTGCACCAAGCAGCCACACAAATTATGGCTATTTTAAAAAGGTTAGGTTACTTTGTGGAGGTAGATTTGGTTCACAGCAACAGACAATAAGAAATATAAAAACAACAAACAACTCAGACATGATAGGATGAAGATAAGATAAATAATAAGATTAAAAATCAGGACTTACAAAGAGCGAACAACAGAAAAATAACTAAAAACAAGACAAACTCTGCTGTTGCTGACATGTTGCATGGCTGTTCTGATGCAATGCTCTCTGTTAGTAAGAGAGAGTAAGAGTCACACGCTCAGTAGGTCATGCAAGTTGTCTTTTTGTAATTGATTAGTTATCAAGAAATGTAATCCCTCAAAAGAAAATAGCCAGAGGCCGGTTCACTGTGGCTGTTCCCACCACAATCATCATCATTTCCACTGAAAACTTTGTCACTTTTCCTGAAAGAAACAGTCGGGCTGATGTTCCTCTCGGACAACAGAGGTGTCTTATGAAGTCACATGAAAAACCTGAACAAATTGTGTGAATGTCGCCCCTCACACATCACAACAAACGCCCCCCTACAATGAACCCTTGCTGTGTTGTGAACAGGCTTATATTGTGCAGCCGGCAGCGCTCGCAGACAGTCCAGACGCTTTCGCCAGCATGAACATGATTTTCTTCATCGGCCAAGTCGTTGGCATCATCTCCATTTCTGCCTTCCTGCTCTTCCTCTTCGCCAAGCTGGTTTCCCGCCATCACAGCAGCCATGTGCAGGACGGTCAAGGCTATGCTGTGCTGATAACCGGCTGCGACAGCGGCTTCGGACATCAGCTGGCTCAGTGTCTGGACCGCAGAGGGTTTGTGGTCTTTGCCGGGTGTCTGTGTCCACAAGGAGCCGGTGCCCAGAGCCTGGCCGAACAGAGCTCCAATAATCTGAAAATCCTCAAGCTGGACGTCACCAGTGATGAAGAGGTGCAGCAGGCGAGGAAGACGGTCCAGGAGAACCTGCCAGAGAAAGGTGAGAGTTTAGCACACTGTAAAAAATGAGCCAGTTTCTCTGGTTCAGCC